TAAATCAAAATAACTGCAAACAAAACTCCCCCTGGGACCCGTTGAATGTTGGAGGCACTCGTTGTTTCGATCAAGCCATGGATTGATGCTTGTGGAGGAGGGGGAGTATAAACTTTACCATTCTGTTTGGGAACCACCTATAATCTGCTTAGCATGGAAGATATCGTCGTCTTTTAGTTGTTATGTTGACAATGAGAGTATGCCGCTCAAAATATAATTTATCTCTATTTCAAAACCGAGCTTTGGCACCTCTACAAATCCCTGCTTCCCTCTCCGAAGGGCCTATTTATTTACTTTTATGTTGAGTCATCACCCTTCTTATTAAAAAGCACTCGCTGGAGAGCACACTATCGTTTGCATTCATTATAATTGGTTTATATTGGGTATGACTTGACTGGATCTCTTTTACCATGAATTACAATGTTTAGTCAGTCCTTGATCTTTAAAGGTGCTCTGCATTTATGTTTTGCGGTCTCAGAAAGGGCTAGCGAGATACCATTTTGTTATATCATGTTATGATTATTTTGAGAAAGTGTTGTCATCCGAGTTTTATTATTATGGCTCGCTAGCTGATTATGCTATTGATATGAGTAATTGTGAGACCTGTGTGTTATTGTGAGTATGGTTAGTTCATAATATTGGCTGAAACTTGAATGCTGGCTTTTCGTGTTTACAACAACAAGAGCAAACAAAGTTTGTAAAAGTTTTTCTTTTTCTTCAGTTTGTCAACTGAATTGCTTGAGGACAAGCAAGGGTTTAAGCTTCGGGGAGTTGATACGTCTCCGTCGTATCTACTTTTCCAAACACTTTTGCCCTTGTTTTGGACTCTAACTTGTATGATTTGAATGGAACTAACACAGACTGACGTTGTTTTCAGCAGAATTGCCATGGTGTTGTTTTTTGTGCAGAAAATAGAAGTTCTCGGAATGACCTGAAACTCCACGGAACACCTTAGAAAAGACAATAAAAAATCCTCGCAAAAGATGAAGACCAGGGGGCCAACACCCTGTCCACGAGGATGGGGCGCGCCCCCCTACCTTGTGGGCCCCCTGGTGGCCCTCCGACGCCAACTCCAACTCCATATATTGGCTTTCGGGGAGAAAAAAATCAGAGAGAAGAAATCATCGCGTTTTACGATACGGAGCCGCCGCCAAGCCCTAATCTCTCTCGGGAGGGCTGATCTGGAGTCCGTTCGGGGCTCCGAAGAGGGGGATTCATCGCCGTCGTCATCATCAACCATCCTCCATCACCAATTTCATGATGCTTACCGCCATGCATGAGTAATTGCATCGTAGGCTTGCTGGACGGTGATGGGTTGGATGAGATATATCATGTAATCGAGTTAGTTTTGTTAGGGTTTGATCCCTAGTATCCATTATGTTCTGAGATTGATGTTGTTATGACTTTTGCTATACTTAATGCTTGTCACTAGGGCCCGAGTGCCATGATTTCATATCTGAACCTATTATGTTTTCATGAATATATGTGTGTTCTTGATCCTATCTTGCAAGTCTATAGTCACCTACTATGTGTTATGATCCGGCAACCACGAAGTGACAATAATCGGGACCACTCCCAGTGATGACCATAGTTTGAGGAGTTCATGTATTGACTATGTGCTAATGCTTTGTTCCGGTTCTCTACTAAAAGGAGGCCTTAATATCCCTTAGTTTCCAATTGGACCCCGCTACCACGAGAGGGTAGGACAAAAGATGTCATGCAAGTTCTTTTCCATAAGCACGTATGACTATATACGGAATACATGCCGACATTACATTGATGAGCTGGAGCTAGTTTTGTGTCACCCTATGTTATGACTGTTACATGACGAACCGCATCCGGCATAATTATCCATCGCTAATCCGGTGCCTACGAGTTTTCCATATACTGGTTTACACTTATTTACTTTTTTGTTGCTACTGTTACAATCACTACAAAATACCAAAAACATTACTTTTACTGTCTTTACTTTTGTTACCGTTACCATCACTATCATATTACTTTGATACTAAACACTTTGCTGTAGGTACTAAGTTTCTAGGTGTGGTTGAATTGACAACTCAGCTGCAAATACTTGAGAATATTCTTTGGCTCCCCTTGTGTCGAATCAATAAATTTGGGTTGAATACTCTACCCTTGAAAACTGTTGTGATCCCCTATACTTGTGGTTATCAAATAGTTTGTGCAAATGTAATAGATATATGCTAGTAGCCCCCGAGAGTTGAAGCGGTTAGGCCAACCGATTTAAGGATCGTTAGGACCTGCAGGTTCTCAGGGAGAAGAACAACACACTGTTCCAGGAGCTGAAAACAAACTAAACAAAGTTGAACGCCGCCGCCATAGAGCTTGCGGAGATGAAAAAGGCCACAATGACCACTGATCAAAAGAAAAAACTTGAGGAGGAAAAGGATAAACAAGCCGAGGAGATAAAGAGCTTAAAGGCTCAGTTATCGATCGTGGCAAAAAGAATAAGAAGTTGAAAAGCGGCATATTCGGTATGGCCTTTTGAACTTTCCAAGGGACTCATAGTATCCCATAATTCGGATTATCACAACTCTGTTGTTGCAGGTGTGTTAACCGGTGGGCCTGAAGAGGAAGTAACCGGCTTTCGAGGCGACGTGCTTAAGGAACTGTCTGTAGTGCATGAGCGGACCCGGAAAGCTATGAGAAGTATGGCTAAGGCCCTATTGCCATCGGATGCCCCTCCAGAAAGTAGGGAGGGGTTGGCGAACCTGTTCTAAGGTGTCCGGCGCCGTTTCGAGCTATGGAAGGTGTCTGCATGCCGGGAAGGTGCACGAGAGGCGTGGGCGATGGTGAAAACGCGCTACATCGGACTCGATCCGAATCATATGGCCCAAGTTGGACCTCAGGGACCGGACGGAAAAGAGATTCCCGTGAACTTGGTATATGACCAAGTTATGATAGCTACGAAATAATCGAAAGAAGATTGTAGTCTAGACAGTCTTATAGATGGCATAGATAAAGAGTAGGTGTTCAATTCAATGTATCAATGTACTTTATCATCGAACTTATCTAAAACCGAACATGTCAAAAAAATTCATCGCAAGCCTTCGGCTTCAACCTCTGAACCAAGAAGGTGGAGTGTTCTCGAATACCCTGTTGGAATGTAAGAAAGACTCATTATGTCCAGAAACCAGGTGGTACGTCTCCAACGTATCTATAATTTTTGATTGTTCCATGCTTTTATACTTAAATCTGGGAGTGGTTTTAGAAAAACTGGTTGAAAATGGTTTGGTTTTTTATTATGGGCATGACTGGTTTAGGTTTTATTGGGCTGAGACTTTCTTTAGTTCGGTTTGGTTTGGGTTTGGAGAGAAACCAGTTTGGGTTAGTTGGTTATGGGCTGAAACCGTTTGATGTATTATGGGCTACAAACTGTGGGTACAACCCGGTTTCTGTATGGGTTCATTGCCTTTGACTGCTCCCCAACCCAAGTACCCAACCCACGTGCTGCCCCATGTCTCTTCCATCTTCGCCCTCGCCGCCGCCCGCACGCCCCCCTGTCTCTTCCCTCTCGCTGTCCCTTCCTTGCGCCACCGCCTCGCCGTCCCCCTCCATTGTTGGCCCCTCCTTGGGACATAAGATCCGACATGAGCTACCCCAAGATGGCCCTCCCATCATTGCCACCGCCCCTCCCCGTCCGCTAGGGTTGAGATCGCCGGGCCGTCTCCGCCACGCTACCTTCCCTCCGCCGGCAGCCGACAGGTACCCCTCTCTCTCTCTCTCTCTCTCTCTCTCTCTCTCTCTGACCGGCTACTCCTGTTGACCAGGTCCTGCTCCTCCCGCGGCAAGCCGGCAAGGTGCTCTGATGGCATCGCCGGCAAGGTGCCCCTGCTGGTCCCCTCCTCGTATGCAACAACAACAGCAACGAGGTCTTTATTCCTCAACAAAGAACCACTTCGATTTGTTCTCTGTATGATTGTACATGTTAGGTTTAGTTTCAGTTTGCGAGAGGCGACTGACGCTTTGTTGTTTGGCTTTGTCGTGCATGTGGAGCGGTGCTCCGGCGGCGCTCATGCCAAGCGCCGGTTATGAATGTTGCCATCGGTAGTTGCATCCGTGGAGCTTGGCATGTTGCATGATGCACTTTAGTATCAGTGTTCATTAGTGAAATTCTGCACTTTAGTATGATTTTAAGAGTGATTTGGGAAGTATCAGTGTTCAACATTTGCTTCAGATATCATTGTTTCTGCACTTCCTGTGGTTATTTGGGAAGTATGCCAATTCTGCACTTTAGTGAAATTCTGCCATTTTAAGAGTGATTTGGGAAGTATCAGTTTTCAGTGATGGGCCATCTTTAGTGGTTATATATTGATAGAGACCTCACTTGATGTTATCACGACCAACTGTGCTTCCAGGGGCTGTTTCAATATTTTGGTTCATGGGTTATATGCATCCATAACATCCTCACTTCAGGTCTCTATCTTCAGTGATGGGACACCTTTGCTGAATCTCTGTGGTTATATATTTTTCTTCTAGCCCAGAATTATTAATTTTAATTCTTGTCAAAATCATGCTAGACACTCTGGCTTGTATAAAGAACAATGATAATTATTATTCTAAAACCACTTACTATTCCATAATACTTAGAGTTGCCTAGTGAGTTGGAATGATGAGAGTGCTGATTCCACATTTTAGGAACCTTCTTGCTCTATATTCTACCATTTTCTAACAGTAACTTTCCACATATTTTTGCCAATGCAGTGTGCTATAAAATTTGAGGCATGTCTACATCAGAGGGCTCGGAGAGTGCCGATTCCATGGATGAGGATACGAGTTGAGTACCACATGCTAGAAGGTCCAAGGTATGGGAGCATTATGAAGTAGATCTGGTTCTCGTAGGTGGTGATCTCAAGGCTGTGTGCAAATACTGTGGAGTGCAACTTCACACCAAGTTTGGGACAAGCAGTTTGAGGACCCATATTGCAGAGGCTTGCCGATCAATTCAAGATGCTTGCAGGAAGAGATTTTTGTTGACCATGAAAAAAAAAGCATCCGAAGGCCTGTTTGTGTTTGATGAAAAAGTTAGTCGTGAACGCATGGTCAAGTATTGCGTCCATGCTGAGATCCCCTTTCTTAAGTTTGAAGATCCCCACCTTCAGCCATGGATTGGCTCAATGCAGCCAACATTTCAAATCAAGGGTCGTCACACAATTCGTGATGATGCAGAGAAGATGTATAAGGGAATGAAGAAAGATATCGAAGTAGAGCTACAAAATTCGGATTCTCGCATTTGCTTAACATCTGACATGTGAACATCATCACAGGACTTGGGCTACATGTGCATCACCGCCCATTATATCAATGCAGATTTCAACTACAACAAGAAGAACATAAGTTTCGCAGAAGTGAAGTATCCCCACACAGGCTATGCGGTAGAGGAAGAAATAGTTCGTTGCTTAACAGAATGGAGAATAAGAGGCAAATTATTCACTTTGACACTAGATAATGCCAGCAATGTTACTAATGCATGTGAGGAGTTAAGAAAATATCACAAACATGAGCTGCTCCTTGAAGGTCAACATTTGCATGTCAGGTGTTGTGCGCACATTCTTCATATCTTGGTTCAGGATGGAATGAAAATAATCCATGAAGCTATTGACATGATACGTGACCTGATATAGTATATTGACTCTTCTCCTTCAAGACGTCAAGATTTCAATACAATTTCAAGTGGGATGGGTCTACGTGCAAAGAAAGGCATCTCTGTTGATACACCAACCTCTTGGGGAACGTAGCAGAAATTCAAAATTTTCTATGCATCACCAAGATCAATCTATGGAGCAACTAGCAACGAGAGAGGGGGGAATGCATCTTCATACCCTCGAAGATCGCGATGCGGAAGCGTTGCAAGAATGCGGTCGGTGGAGTCATTCACTAAGCGATTCAGATCGCGGCCGAATCCGATCTAAGCACCGAACAACGGTGCCTCCGCGTTCAACACACGTACAGCCCGGGGAAGTCTCCTCCTTCTTGATCCGGCAAGGGGCGAGGAGAAGTTGAGGGAGAGCTCCGGCAACACAACAGCATGGTGGTGGAGCTTGCAGTTCTCCGGCAGAGCTTCGCCAAGCACTACTACGGAGGAGGAGGTGTTGGGGAGGGAGAGGGCTGCGCCAGGGGAAGGGTGAAGCTCCCATGCGCCTCCCCACTATATATAGGGGTGGAGGGCGCTGGTTTCTTAACCTCCAAGTCCATTGGGGCATTGGCAAAGGTGGGAGGAAGAAATCCCATCATTTCCTTCCCCACCGATTGTTATCCCCCTTTTTTAGGGATCTTGATCTTATCCCTTTGGGATATGATCTTATTCCTTCTAAGGGGGGATCTTGGTGTGCCTTGACCAGGGGTGTGGGGCCTTGCCCCCACTACCCATGTTCATGTGGGTCCCCCCATGTATAAATCTTTACCTCCGGACCATTCCGGAACTCCTCGTCACGTCCGGGATCTCATCCGGGACTCCGAACAACATTCGGTAACTACACACTAATTCCCATAACAACTCTACTGTCACCGAACCTTAAGTGTGTAGACCCTGCGGGTTCGGGAATCATGCAGACATGACCGAGATAGCTCTCTGGCCAATAACCAACAGCGGGACCTGGATACCCATGTTGGCTCCCACATGTTCCACGATGATCTCATCGGATGAACCACGATGTCAAGGATTCAAGCAATCTCGTATATAATTCCCTTTGTCAATCGGTACGTTACTTGCCCGAGATTTGATCGTCGGTATCCCAATACTTTCAATCTCGTTACCGGCAAGTCACTTTACTCGTTCCGTAATGCATGATCCCATGACTAACTACTTAGTCACTTTGAGCTCATTATGATGATGCATTACCGAGTGGGCTCGGAGATACCTCTCCGTCATACGGAGTGACAAATCCCAGTCTCGATTCGTGCCAACCCAACAGACACTTTCGGAGATACTTGTAGTGCACCTTTATAGCCACCCAGTTACGTTGTGACGTTTGGTACACCCAAAGCATTCCTATGGTATCCGGGAGTTGCACAATCTCATGGTCTAAGGAAATGATACTTGACATTAGAAAAGCTTTAGCAAACGAACTACACGATCTTGTGCTATGCTTAGGATTGGGTCTTGTCCATCACATCATTCTCCTAATGATGTGATCCCGTTATCAATGACATCCAATGTCCATGGTCAGGAAACCATAACCATCTATTGATCAACGAGCTAGTCAACTAGAGGCTCACTAGGGACATGTTGTGGTCTATGTATTCACACATGTATTACAGTTTCCAGTTAATACAATTATAGCATGAACAATAGACAATTATCATGAACAAGGAAATATAATAATAACCATTTTATTATTGCCTCTAGGGCATATTTCCAACAGTCCCCAGCTTGCACTAGAGTCAATAATCTAGTTCACATCACTATGTGATCGTAATGAATCCAACACCCATGGGGTTTGATCATATCTCGCTTGTTAGATAGGTTATTAGTCAATGGGTCTGAACCTTTTAGATCCGTGTGTGCTTTACAAATCTCTATGTCATCTCCTAGATGCAGCTACCACACGCTATTTGGAACTATTCCAAATAACTGCTCTACTATACGAATCCGGTCTACTACTCGGAGTCATCCGGATTAGTGTCAAAGTTTGCATCGGCGTAACCCTTTACGATGAACTCTTTTACCACCTCCATAATCGAGAAAATTCCTTAGTCCACTAGTTACTAAGGATAACATTGACCGATGTCATGTGATCCATTCCTGGATCACACTTGTACCCCTTGACTGACTCATGGCAAGGCACACTTTAGGTGCGGTACACAGCATAGCATACTGTGGAGCCTGCGTCTAAAGCATAGGGGACGACCTTTGTCCTTTCTCTCTCTTCTGCCGTGGTTAGGTCTTGAGTCTTACTCAATACTCACACCTTATAATACAGCCAAGAACTCCTTCTTTGCCGTTCTATTTTGAACTCCTTCAAAATTGTGTCACGGTGCGTACTCATTTAAAAGTACTATCAAGCACTTTTGATCTATCCTTATAGATCTTGATGCTCAATGTTCAAGTAGCTTAATCCAGGTTTTCCATTGAAAAACACTTTTCAAATAACCCTATATGCTTTCCAGAAATTCTACATCATTTCCGATCAACAATATGTCAACAACATATACTCATCAGAAATGCTATAGTGTTCCCACTCACTTCTTTGGAAATACAAGTTTCCAATAAACTTCGTATAAACCCAAAATCTTTGATCATCTCATCAAAGCATATATTCCAACTCCGAGATGCTTACTCCAGTCCTTAGAAGGATTGCTGGAGCTTTGCATACTTGTTAGCATCTTTTAGGATTGACAAAACCTTCTGGTTGCATCACATACAACCTTTCCTCAAGAAAATTGTTAAGGAAACAATGTTTTGACATCCTATATGCAAGATTTCATAAATAATGCAGGAACTACTAATATAATTTCAACAGACTCTTAGCATCGCTACGAGTGAGAAAGTCACATCATACTCAACTCCTTGAACTTGTCGGAAAACATCTTAATGACAAGTCGAGCTTTCTTAATGGTGATACTTACCATCATTGTCTGTCTTCCTTTTAAAATCCATCTGTACCCAACAGCCTTACGACCATCAAGTAGTTCTTCCAAAGTCTATACTTTGGTTTCATACATGAATCCTCTCTCGGATTTTATGGCCTCGAGCCATTCATCGGAATCCGGGCCCACCATCGCTTCTCCATGGCTCGTAGGTTCATTGTTGTCTAGCAACATGACCTTCAAGACATGATTACCGCACCACTCTGAAGCAGTACGCGTCCTTGTCGATCTATGAGGTTTGGTAGTGACTTGATCCGAAGTTCCATGATCACTATCATCAGCTTCCACTTCAACTGGTGTAGGCGCCACAAGAACAACTTCATGTGCCCTGCTACACACTAGTTGAAGTGACGGTTAAATAACCTCATCAAGTATCCACCATCCTCGAGAAACTTTTGAGAGAAACTTTTCCTCGAGAAAGGACCCGATTCTAGAAACAATCCCTTTTGCTTCCGGATCTGAGACAGGAGGTATACCCAACTATTTTTGGGTGTCCTATGAGGATGCATTTATCCGCTTTGGGTTCGAGCTTATCAACCTGAAACTTTTTCACATAAGCGTTGCAGCCCCAAACTTTATAAGAAATGACAGCTTATGTTTCTCTAAACCATAGTTCATACGGTGTCATCTTAATGGAATTGTGTGGTGCCCTATTAAAGTGAATGCGGTTGTGTCTAATGCCTAACCCATAAACGATAGTGTTAATTCGATAAGAGACATCATGGTATGCACCATATCCCATAGGGTGCAGTTACGATGTTCGGACACACCATCACACTATAGTGTTCCAGGCGATATTAGTTGTGAATCAATTTCCACAATGTCTTAATTGTGTGCCAAACTCGTAACTCAGATATTTATCTCTATGATCATATCATAGACATTTTATACTCTTGTCACGACGATCTTCAACTTCCGATTTGTGTTTCATCAAGTAAATATACTAAGAGTCTACTCAAATCATCTGTGAAGTAAGAGCATAACGATATTCACTGCGTGCCTCGGCACTCATTGGATTGCACACATCAAATGTATTACTTCCAACAAGTTGCTCTCTCGTTCCATCTCACTGAAAACGAGGCCTTTCAGTCATCTTGCCCATGTGGTATGATTTGCATGTCTCAAGTGATTCAAAAACAAGTGAGTCCGAACGATCCATCTGCATGGAGTTTCTTCATGCGTATATACCAATAGACGTGGTTCGCATGTCTCAATCTTTTCAAAAATGAGTGAGTCCAAAGATCCATCAATATGGAGCTTCTTCATGCGTTTTATACCAATATGACTTAAGTGGCAGTGCCACAAGTATGTGGTACTATCATCACTATCTTATATCTTTTGGCATGAACATGTGTATCACTACGATCGAGATTCAATAAACCATTCATTTTAGGTGCAAGACCATTGAAGGTATTATTCAAATAAACAGAGTAACCATTATTCTCCTTAAATGAACAACCGTATTGTGATAAACATAATCCAATCATGTCTACACTCAACGCAAACACCAAATAACAATTATTTAGGTTTAACATCAATCTCGTGGTAGAGGGAGCAGGCGATGCTTGATCACATCAACCTTGAAAACATTTCCAGCACACATCGTCATTTCACCTTTAGCTAGTCTCCGTTTATTCTGTAGCTCTTTTATTTCGAGTTACTAACA